GAGAGAGAGAGAGAGAGAGAGAGAGAGAGAGAGAGAGAGAGAGAGAGCCCAAACTAACTACCCGGCTCATCCCCCACGACTTCTCTGCTCCTGCCGCCCTCCTCTGCGCTCTTCCCCCGCTTCTTCACTCTCCCCGCTCCTCCGCCACGCCTCCACAGCTCGGGGAAAAAAGGACTTGCCTCCCTGCCGGTCTTTCTCTCTGTGTCTGTCGCCAAGCTTGCCCAGGAAGGTACGTGAGGCCAACGGGGATTGAACCCAAGACCTCATGAATGCCACTTGCGTGCCATACCAACCAAGGTACGCCCCTGAATTTCAGTCTAGAGTCGGGTAAGACAGTAGAGGTAGACATAGCATGCCAGCTGTTGCAGAACCTCCCCAACTAGCAGGAGGTGCTGCACCCACATTGCCATAGCTGTTAGGACACAACCCCCCACTGGACCATGAGTCTAAAAACACCCCCGACCACCACCCCGGAACCCACCGAACCCACCACCCCGACTTATTTCTCCCATTTCCCCCTCAATCCCTTGCCAGCGAAGCCGCAACAGGTACCCTTATTACATATTATTACCTTAAGTTGGACAGGCTCTCCCGGTATAGATACAAGTTGGGCGCTGGGACTGGGTATAGCGGGTATTCCCATCCTTAAGTGGGGTGCAGATGCAATTTCCTTTTCTTTTTGCTCCCCCTCCCCCCCCCCTCCCCCCCTCCCCCCGTCTTCTTTTGTGTCCATATCAGGCTAAGAACAAAGAAAAATAGTAAAATATCCCTCATCCAAGCCAGCACGGTCTATGAAGACCTCCGACCTACATCATCATCTCCATAAAACCTGTACTGAAGAATATCATTTGCTCCCTTAGACCACCAGTACATTGCCCAGGCTTCAACTTGAGAATTGAATTCAGCCAATTCACAGATTTCAAGATTTGGAGTGAACAGTGCTACTGGACCAAAATGGCTGGCGCACCGGCGGAAAGCAAGAAAAAAAAAACGCGCTGGCATTTCAGCAACTGGCACACAGGGGGAGTCTCCCTTGGCAAAAAGAAGCTCGGATGTACTGCTGGCTTAATCAGGGAAAAAAAGAAAAAAGAAAGAAAAAGGGAAAAGTAGGTTTGGATGTCAAACTCAGGTTAGCTGGGTTAGGGGGGTGCTGCAGGAGTGTTCCCAAAGCAGGAAGGCCGAAAAAGAGTTAAGGAACATATTCCGAAATCCCTAAAGGAAACTGATGTGATGACAGTGATGTGGATTATATTCTTTGATGTGGATTATATTCTTTACCAGCATTTGGATGGAAGATCTCATCTAATTTGGCTTGCAAGAAGAAGTAGACTTAAAAAGAAGAGAGAATAGAAACTCAGAAAATAAGGGAAAAATAGAGGAAATAGTACCGAAATACTAACGCGTACTGTCAAGGGAAAGAGCCTTTGTCGAGAGAGAGAGAGAGAGAGATCCGGTATTTAGGACTGCCTTGCTTGGTGGTAACTTACATTCATTCACTCATGCGTTCTATCGATGATCATGTAGCTTTGTTGTAGTGTGTGTCTGCTGTTGTTGTCATTATCTGATGGTGTGACACCCTGTCTCTTATACACATCTAGATGTGTATAAGAGACAGGAGAGAGAGAGAGAGAGAGATCCGGTATTTAGGACTGCCTTGCTTGGTGGTAACTTACATTCATTCACTCATGCGTTCTATCGATGATCATGTAGCTTTGTTGTAGTGTGTGTCTGCTGTTGTTGTCATTATCTGATGGTGTGACACCCATGGTTGATTTCTTTTCTTTTTTTCTTTTTCTTTTTCTTTTTTTGGTAAACAGGGCCTTATGGACCTGGCTCCTTCTTTCTGGGGAGCGTCAGTCCCGTTCCTATTCCACCAGCAAGTCAAAAAGTACATTACATCGATAAACACTCACACACGCTTCCTTCCGTCAGGCCGAAGGACCCCTGAACAGCATTGATTACTCCACTGCGGTGGAGGATTGACTGTCAGCTTGCCCTGTCCCTCTCTTTCCCTTTCTTGCCTCACCTTCTTGGGCCTTTTTCTGTTCAATTCTCTTATATTTCAGGTCATTTGTTTACTTTCTTGCAACTGTGTGTCATCAGAGCCATAGTGAAGTATATGTTAGTCGAATATCGGAGTAGCAGCAGCCAAGGCTCGGTTAGTCAATTGCCGAAGAAAGGAAAGCTGGAAGAAAAGGACAAAACTTGATAAAAGTGATTATGATTTATTCAATTTGGTGTCATCGTCATAGACCTGGAACCACAATTGTCAGAAGACCGACAAGGTTGTGTAGGCGTTGTTGACGGTTATTTCACATTGACGGATTAGCAACCCCAGTTTGGGCATCGCCACACCACTCTCGAAACGTGCAAAATCAGAATGAACTTCCCACTAGAACATGGCCTGATGCACCCGCCATATTTTTGTCTTTTTCACATTTTGAGAGTAGTGTGGGGAGGCCCTTAGTGAGCAACAGTGTTAGGAAAGATGGAATATTGTTCAAGAAGAAAGGAAACAAGAGAGAGAGAGAGAGATAAATACGGTTTGATACTTTGATTACGTTTGCTGTACATTCTTGGCACTTTGCTTTCTATAAATAGCTGCCAGTGCCCATTGTTTATTTTTATTTTTATTTTTCATAGCTGCCCACATTCTGAAACGGTTTTCACCTTTGCAGAGGCAGATGCAGATCCCAGGGTTCGATCCCCAGACCTTACCTTACCCATGTACAGTATCGAGTTGACCCCTGAGTGTTTGAACCCATGACCTGTGTTTCGTTAGTTGTTGTTTGTCTGTCGTAGGACTGTGTAGATGTAGGGATTCGATCTGTAGGTCTATCGAGTAGGTATCACAGCTCTGTAGAGGTCGTAGCTATAGGTATTCTGAAAGGTCAAGGTCGTAGCTGCTACAGTCCTGAAAGGTCAAGGTCGTAGCTGCTACAGTACCCGAAAGGCCAAGTCCACAAACTTCCAAGTTCCGGAAGTTGCCTTTCGAAGCTGCCTCACGTTTTAGTCAGAGGCAAGTGGGCAAGTGCAGTGCGACTGCGTTGAGTTGGCAGTGCAAACCCATGCAGTCAGGGGTACTGGTCCAGTCAGTCCCAGTCCAGTCCAGCAAGTACCATGAGGGACTGTGTGCACTATGGGCGGATGGAAAGAGGCAGACCGACGAGTTACAGAAGTATATATCAAGAGGCAGCGCCCAGCCATTCATTCATTCCTGCGCGGAAGCGCTGCCACAGCGACTTGTGCGAGGTGGTCTGCAGTGAGCCCGAAGGCGAAGTGGGCGAGAAGGAAGCTTAGCCATAGCGATAGGGTAGCAGTGGCCATAGCCGCCATAGCTGATAGGAGAGAGTAGCGTGTGTGAGTGTGCGAGTGTACAGTGTGTTGCGTGTGGGATATCCAGGGTGATCCTGTGTGCGAACAGCAGTGTTGAGTAAGTGACGAACAGAGAGTTGCACAGGCGATGTGCCGCCATAGCCATTTGAAGTGAACTTGTATCTGAGCTGCGTTCTTGGTTACTATATCTCTGAGTTCTGAGTGGGCGCCTGACGCCAGTTTGCTGCACAACCTGTTTGCATGCATGTGAAGTGTGAATGAAAGCGAGTCTGATTGCAATTCAAGGGATCTGGTAGTGTACTAGAAAAACTAGATCCCTGGTCATAATCTTTTTTTTTTTTTCCGTTTTTTTTTTGCTTGTGGCCCAATTGACCACAGATAATATATTAAACTGATCAGAACATGTACTTCACTTCTTGATCTATTTTTAGCCCAAAAGGCCACAAAAGGTATTCTGGCCATAACCTTGCAATGGTAGCCTTAACCAATTGTGATTTAGACCTGCACGTGCGAGGACATCTTCGCTAATAGCCGGTACTCAACACGTCGATGGCATAACTAACCACCCTTTGTATTTTTCTTTCCCTGAATTGCACAGTCATGTTGCAGCCAGTTTTTATCTGGCTGACATATGTCTACAGTCGGTTTCGGAAGCACTCTCGAGTCCAGCACGAGTGCCTGGTAGCCTGCAGCATGCAGCAAATATTGCGCTAAGCGACTGTTTTAGTCAGCCTTCGCATGGTTTTACACACTCCAAGAGGGGGGCCCTTGGACGGTCTCGGCAGCAAGTTTGTTGCCCTGCCATCCTGCCATGCTGCTGGGCAAAAGTTGGCATTCTGCAACCCTTCCCATTGCTTGTCCACCGTCGTCCATTCGTGCCCTAGTTTTGCCGTCCAGACGTCCTGCCACTCGGCCGTAGTCAAGAGTTTACAGGCAAACTCTAATGCGTGATTGGTGGGCAAGTCGCAGGGATGGCTCCATGGAGAGGAAGGGAGAAGGAACAGGACATTGAGGGGTCTGTGAGTGGACACTCTGTACGGGAGTTGTTGCCGGAGGAAGAGTACATCATCGCCGACGTGGCAAATCCAACAGAAGTTCTTTGTCGAATCCATGAACTGGTTAAGAGCTTCTTAATCGAGATCGCGAAACCTGAGCCATCGATCAGTGTGCTGAATATGGTCCACAGGAGCGCCAAGAATGCGGTTTTGCAGAGCGGAAGGGGAAGCAGCGGTCATGTGGAGGAGAGAGTGCTCCTCCTCAGTAATCTTCAGAAGAGGTCTTTGTTGGGTAGCAAAGGCCAAGGAATCAACGCATTTGTGAGAGTGTGGAAGGTGCTGGAGATGGTGAGCCAACTTCTAGAGTCCGGGAAGCAGTCGACTCAGCGCGATCTGTTTTACCGGCTGGTATCGGAGGCGCCCAGCTACTTCGAGAACCAGACGGATGCAAATTCTGCAATTCAAGATTGCGTCGCGCTTCTTAGGTGCTCACGTCAAAGCCTGGGCATTATTGCAGCCAGTAGAGGAGCGGTGATAGGGAGATTGTGGATCAAAGAGAAACCAGACGGCAACTGGATAGATTGCACGAAGGTTTCGTCGGAAGGAAAGGTTATAGCAGGAAACATTGAGTCATTGAATAACTGGAAGCTACACACTGACGCCCACTACATTTTTGTGCTGGAAAAGGATGCGATTTTTCAGAGACTCGCTGAGGATCGCTTATTTATGACGCTCCCAAGCATCTTGATCACAGCAAAAGGATTTCCTGACCTTGCCACACGCGCTTTCCTAAAGCGTCTCAGTACCGACTTTCCTCATTTGCCCATCCTGGCACTTGTGGACTGGAATCCTGCTGGTTTTGCGATCATTTGCACGTACAAGTATGGAAGCACGAGCATGGGACTTGAATCTCCTCGCTATGCGTGTGATGTCAAATGGCTTGGTCTGCGAGCTGCAGATGTCGAACACCTTCCAGATGATGCATTTCAATCATTAAGTGAGAGGGAGCATCGCATGCTGATAAATATGCTTGACTCGCCTAACGTAAGGAAACGGGAGTCGTATGCCAGTGAACTTCAGAAGATGAAGGATGGGAATCGGAGAGCAGAGATAGAGGCGTTATTCACAAAAGGTTATGACTATCTGGCTCAAATGGTCGTCAAGAAGGTTGTCTGCCAAGACTATATATGAAGTTATTATGAACACAAGGGCAGAAAGACTGGATGAAAGGAAAGCCCATTGTGCGGGGAACTTCCTTGTCTGTCAATGAACTTCAATGAAGTGTATACATGGCACTCCCCTCTTTCTTAAGACGCGAGCTGCGTGTAGTTCGGGATGTAAGGTGTAGCTGAAGAGGCGCTCTTTGCCTGGTCTGTGAATATAGCATATCCATAGTCGTCCCTTTACATTTGTTTGCATAATACGTGTAGTCGGAGACCCCTTCTGTTCTCGTTGGGGGGGGGGGGGGGGGGGGGGGGGGGGGGGGGGGGGGGGCGCGGCACAGAGGGGGCGGAGGGGGGGATCAGTCCAGCTGGTTCTCATTGCTACAGCAAGTGAATTAAGCGTTTACATCAGGATATACTATATACCCGCTCTGGATGGGAGAGTACTTTTTCCCCATGGCTATCGTCATAGGTATTGTTCTCTTACCGACATTGTCCAACACATGTAAGGTTATGTCTTCTTATCTGCTTGCTGCGTGTAATGTAGATTTACGGCTTTGAATCCGCCTGTGTCTGTAGTTGAGGACCGAGTCGAGGACTGAGTCAAGGCCGCGTAGTTAGGTCTTTTCTTATGATTCCTTTTTAAATTTGAAGAGCTCAGTGTATGCGATTTATCAGTTTGTCTCCGCATGTTTTGTCTCTCCCCTACCTTTTTTTTTTTTTTTTTTTTAATTTCTCCGGGCACGTTCTGATGATGGTACATAAACATGATCACGATGAACTCCTTGCGCGAAGCACGTAGAATGAAGAGCTGTATTACAGGTGACTATCTAGTACGGCTCGCAGAGCAGAGGACTCGAGTGCATGAAAGTAAGAGTAAGACCATCTTGATTATGATATGATGATGAAACATTGTGTTCGTGATGTACCGCGTATGATGAACTAACTACAATGATTGAGTGAGATGTGACAATGATTGATAAGTGTGATGGCTATGAACTTACTATGACATTTCAACGCTTTGTGTGATGAGACGGGGCATCCATAGGGAGGGCTAGACAGAAATGTCTTTGATCTTTCAATTGTGCCTAGAGGTGTGGGGTTAGTGTGGTGAGGTTAGAGTGAGAAACATGACTGATGCCGGTACAGGGGTCTGTGAGGTGCGAGGAGTGTCTGTGTAACTAGAGTGTCTTTTGGGGCCCGTGGATTGGATGTCGGTGCTGAAAGGACTGGAACATCGCCATGGGTCCCGTTGGCTACTACCGTCTTCACACGAATAGAATGCCCGGTCATTATAGCTGCATTTGAGGCAACATTCAGTGTCGATACAGCGATAAAGACCAGACATTCTACTCGGGTGAAGACGGTAGTCCTGTAGTGTGGGATCAGAGGTACCCTGATGGAACATCGCCGTGGGTCCCGTTTGGTTCCATGGGACTGGGAGGGTACCTGTGAGGTCTCCCGGTTGGGGAAGATCCTCAGTTGTGCACAACGCAGGGGAATCTAGTCTACTGAGGTGAGACAACGTGTGTGTGTGTGGGGGGCGAAGTGCACTGGAAGAGTGCTAGGGGAGTTACGCTGACCAGTCTACCCCTGGGCTGGCTGTGCTACAGTGTCTTATCTTGGCATCACAAACCTGCACATACCTCTTTCTCTTTTAAGAAAACAAGTGGACCCGCCGCAGCCACGCTGCGGCAGAGGAGAGGGACGAACAGGGGGGCGGGGCTGTTGCTGTTACACTGCAGCTTTTTTTCATTTTTTTTTTTTTTGGTCGTCATATTCGCTATACACTCAAACAAAACATGACAGTGGCAGACTGTTTCCGAGTGATCAGGAGGTTGTGTGTGTGTGTGTGTGTGTGTGTGTGTGTGTGTGTGTGTG